AACGCCTTCAGCGAGTTCAAGTATGTAGAATGGGAAGTCACTTTGGCCAGTTACACCATAGAATGAATTCATATACAATTTAATGGCTTTCTGCTTTGAATTTAGAGAATTATAATTGAAGTAAATAGAATCATATTCTTTCCTAAAATCATCATATGACAAACCAATGAAAGGATTCAGGATGTCGGCTATTTCAGCATGCTTCTTAAGTTCGCTTTGCGAACAAACATCTTCAATCATACTTGCTATTGAGATAGATCTGCCAGCATTCATTCTACTTTTAACTAATCTCATATATTCCTTTTTCTTTCCAGAGGTTTTAGCTGAGCCTTTAGTTCATTCTGTATATTGAGCAAATTTTCCAATATTTTTGGAAATAAACCTTTCTTATCAGATTTATTCCCATGCTGTATAGTCCAGGCTTGCACAGGTTTACCGTCATACTTGAACTCAATAGTGTAAAGCACTTTATTCTCTCTCTTTAGTTTATCTGCTTCTGAAAGTGTTGAGACCATCTTCTCAGATAAAAGGTTGTAGGTCATGATTATGTTAGGGTATAAGGAAGCGAAGTCTAAACCTGTGACAGAACGTTTATTTTCAAGACCTTTCTCTGGCAGGAACACATACGCTCCTGAAAACTTCCCAGATGCTTTCTGATTAGAAATTTTTGTGATGTATAGAATATCCTGCACTTAAGCTTCAGCGTCTAAGAGATTAGATACTTTTGTTCCTATAGCATAATAATGTGAGTTGAATAATGATATATGAGTGATTGAAGCATCTCTCTGTAATCATTTATAACATTAGATTTGACCATAAGCTTCTGACAACGTAAAGCATCTATAACACAATAATTTATGATTTTGTGCATATGTTTTTTGGAAGAGTCAGAAGTCCCATTCCTTGCTTCTGAATAATACTTCCATAATTTGCTTATAGGCATATCAGCTTTGCCATCAAGACCACACTTTTCTAAGAAGAATTTGAGTAATATTTTTTCAGAGCGGAAGTGGAGTTGCATAAAACTTACGCGAACGTCAATTGGTACATATCCAGGGAGTTTAAGAAAGTAGGATTCAAAACTTAAACTAGGATGAATTTTGATCTTAATGGATTCTCGATATCCTGTTTTTATATAATCCTTATCTAGTAAATTCCTATCTGTCTTTTTTACTTATTGTGAATCTCTCTGGAAGAAATTACTGCTAGATGGTTCCCCTTTCCCTTCAAAATAATTTCAAATAAGAATAGAATTAGCATTGGCTTTCTTACGTAGTTTCGCTAACATTCGCTGAACTATTCATTCGAGAACTTTTAATTTGATGGTCTTTTCTACAATAAAAGACCAATTATATCCTGAATCATTAAAACCAAGCTGGATATCTAAGGCAAAAGATTTCCAACATAAAGCAAAAGCTTTTAATAAATTGGCTTGATTCTCACATATAATTGTTGTCCAGTGTGAATCTGAAGCTATCTCAACATTAACAAGACATATTTATTCTAGTGGTTTTGGATCGTCTTTCTAATGTAGGGTCATGCAGATCATAAAAACTTGAGACGTGTTATTTTTCGCTTCTGAAAAGTTCTCTGATCTACGTGAATCGTATGTTTCTATATCCTATATTAGAACTAATGCTCGATCGTGAGTAAAGAGAGAAGATAAATAAATTTTGTAAAGTGGTTCAAAATTCTCTATAGGGCGAAAATTATTAATGTAGACATAAAATGCATATAGGCAGTGATAGGATCTCGCATAATAAGGTGTACTGTTATTATATTTATAGTTGCTTATAGATTCCCATTCAGAAAGTGGTATTCTATATTCTCTCGCAACTTTACGATAATATGTACCTGTATCATCTAAAACTGTCTCTATTTTACATTCAGGACCAACCTTTGAATTGTAGCTTAAGATGATATCGAGAGCAGTAAACCTTTCATCTTTATTAGGTATGATAATATGGAAATACAGCTTTTTTTTCGCATGAAAACCACAGATAGGGAACGCCTTTATACATTCCATCTGGATTAGATTCATGTTCACAGTGTTCTCACTACTATCTTTCCCAGTAGTAAGAATATCCTTTATTTTGGACCATAATTTAGGAATACTTGTATTATCGGGAATACGAATATTAAAAAATACCTTAATACTGGTAATAATTATGATTGCTTTCTGATCATTAATAAGATATCTATAAAAGCGGAGGCATAATAAGAGATATTATTAATATATTCTTTAGCTTCTTCTATATCAGCTGGCATGAATGGAATATCTCGATGATTCACTATTTTATCATTAAGAATTGTAGTCGAACCCTCATCATTTCTCGCAACTAGTTTATTATGAGTTGGAATGCCTATTAAGTAATTCTTGCCAGAATAACGAAGTACCTGACCAAGTTTTCTTTTTCAGCCTTTGGGTGAAAAAGTGAGGCGAAGGCATTGAGAAAGTCTGAAAGCTCAGATTGGATCATAGTAAAAATTTTCAGATATATTATCTAGTATACCCTGGTTTTGATATAATACCCTAACAAAAAAGTTTAAAATAAAAATAAATATTATTATAGATATCAAAAAGATTAACTGAGAATAATATCAATAAGAGGTAGATACATTTGTCAATATCTCTCTGATAAAGGGATAGTTTGTGGGAATGGAAGTACGCAATCAGAAAGGTGTAGTATTCACTGGAAAAGACGTCAGTGATCTCAATGCAAACAAGATGGCTGTATAAGATGGACAGCATCTAAACATAGATTTTGTAATCTGCATATAAATAAGTACCATTCAAAAGAATATTATCACCGGAAGAAATTGGATAAGATATTTCAGAATGGGTAAATACCAGAAACATTGGAACAGGCTCTCGATAAAATAAAAATCCCTAATGCTATAAGTTGTTCCTAATGACTTATCAAAAATTTGACCTCATGAAAAATTTATAGGGATGGCAAAAAAACTTAACAAGGACGCTAGAAGTATCTTCTTTAACAATTTTAGAACTCTGGGAAGGCAATTTACTACTTATCTTTAAGAACCTTATGAGCCCTATAAATTTTCAAACTCTTTACCTTTTTTTATTTTTTTTTATACATATCATATATTGATCATATATCAACCATATCAACTATATATATAATTAATATTTACCCAAGTGGTATATCATAGAAAAATTTCGATTTTTTCCTAGAACTTTAAAATTTCTTAGGGTTGATAAGGTTCTTAAGGATAAGTAGTAAAGAACTCAATAAAATAAGTTAAGAAGCCCAAAAATGATATCAAGATTATCCCTAAAAGCGTCCTCAAGAAAATTTCTTATAGGAATAGAGAATTTTTATAGGGATAGTAGCATCCAAGCTGGCCTGAAACTGGCGAACTAGAAAAATCTGCCTTAGGAAATTTTTGACTTCTAGAGGTAAAAGCGAAATAGCAAATTAACTTTATTAGGATACTAAAATAGTTTCTTGAATGGTTTGCCCTAGGTATCCTAGGTAACCTAGAAAATTTTAGACTTCTTTACTTTTTATTTTTTTTTATCTATGGATATAGCAAAAATATAGCATACCCATAGCATACATATAGCATACATATAGCATACTGATATATATACTGAAAAGATATCATAGAAAAAATTCATTTTTTTTTCTCTAGAACTTTATTTTACTAGGACACCTAGAGCATCTAGAGAAGATAATACAGGAACAAGATAAAATAAAAAAAGAACGCTTTCTCCTATAATAAACTCTGATCTAGGAAGTGGCCCAGTAAAATTTCTGCTCTAGGACATAAAATTGACACACACATACCAGCAATAAATAGGCAATAGTTGGATTATAAAATAGCATCAGCTTCGATCTTTCAAATTGTATACCTCAAAACCACTTTATTCTGATAATCAAATGGGTCAGATATGATCCCTTGAAAGTTACGTGAATTGAACTTTTTTACATGTAGTACTTGCATAGATATTACCATGCCCGATATTTACTCTATATTCAATTAAGATGAAATATGATAGAAACACTTACGGAATATGAATATACTTTATAAGATGAATAAGATAAACATTATACTTACTCGTTTTGTAACAATGGTCTAACAACATCTCATAAAATTATGAAAAGCATTTTAGACGATGGGTTTTTGTTGTTCCCGTCGCTGAAATTTTGCATGATAAGCTATTATTGAAAATAAAGGTAGCAAATTAATTGCGCTATCTGTCATTTTTTTTTTACATTACTTCAGCCCCTAGAAAGGCAACCAAATAGGTGCAAAGGGAAAACACTCTAATATAGAATCCAGCATCTAATTAGACGTAGAAAATTAGCATTTTTAACATAAAACCAGGTATCCAAATAGCTACAGAGGGTCAACAGCTTTCATTATAGAATTTAATATGTAAACGACTCAGAAATAAGAAGAAAGCAGTCACCATTAGATCATGACATCACCATTAAATTAAGCACTATATCCACCATTAGACTATGAAGTCACTACTATATTATACAGGAAACAGTTAAAATAATGTTATAAATGCAAAGGAGATACCTATACATAGGTTATGAAATCACCATTAGATTGTGATATTAGGTTATGAAATTACCACCAGATTATGTAATTAGATTATGAAATTACCGGCAGACTATGAAGCTACCAGCAGACTATAAAGTTATCATTATATTATAAAGATACCGGTAGACTATGAAGTTACCACTATATTATGAAGACACCAGCAGACTATGAAGTTACCTTCATAACCTAATCTAAGTCGCCAGCAACTTCATGATATAATTATATCATGAAGTTGCTGGCGACTCTTAGTAAATATTTGAAGGTCAGATTGCTATTTTTCTACATTTATTAATCAGAATATTTTCTTTTTGCCTTTTACTTAATTCGCAATATTTTGTAAGCCAACATGTAAAAACCTTCTAAGAATTACCATTGGCAAGTCTTTATTAATTCTATTGTATCTAAATATTTGTAACCAAAGGCTACCAATTGTTATCGAAATTTTCAATTAGAATATTTAAAGTACTATTTATATTAAAAATAAAACTCTGAATTTCATCTGAAATAAGGTTAACTAAAGAAGACATAGCTGCTGAAGAGGTAGTAGAATCCTTATTAATAAGAAAAAATAAAGCCGTCAAAAACCTAGTAGAATCCTTGTTAACTAAAGGAAACATAGCTGCTGAAGAACTATTAGAATCCTTATTAAACAAAGAAGATGTAGCTATTGAAGAGGTAGTATAATTCTCATTAACTAGAGGAAACATGACCACTGAAGAGGTAGTAGAATCCATAATTTATCACAACCTTCCTGTTTTAAAAGTTTACTTCTACTTTTTTTTCTTAAATCCAGATAAAAAACAGTATAATGCTAATAATAAAGCTGAAAAAGAGCAATACTTCTAACACGTAAAGTGTTTACTTTGATAATAAAGTTAAGTATACATTTTATTTTATTTTGTTTTTTTTGTTTTTTTTTTTTAATTTTTAATTTTTCTAGCCAATAGCGTTTACCCATTATTTCTAACCAATTATTGTACGTTCACGTGAGGTCACGTGATACTACTCCGCTCTCTGTACAGAGACCCGAAAAAATTCCATTTTTATAATAAATGAATAAATCGGAATTTTTGCTGTATAATGGAGTAAAATGGAATTTTTTGAATT